AAATCTTATCAATAAATAATTATTATTTATGTTTATTTATAGATTTGTATGAAGATTTCGTTGCACCGACGTTAAAAACAGATTTATTTGCCGAAACATGGTTAAACGGACGAGGCAGACTGCCATCGGACTGCGAACGAGTAAAGTAATGTTACATTTTTCATTTTTATTGTTAAATTAAAAATTTTTCCATATCTTTAATTAAATTAAATTTTTATTATTTTTTTAGAGTATACAATATTATAACCATTAATTTGGCATCAGTTAATATCGATTTTAAAAGTAGTCGCGATCATTCCAAGTGGGCGGTGGCTGTTGAAGGTAAAGCTAATCGAACTTGGACTTGCATAGGTGATATTAATCGAGCAGTAAGTACATATTTTTTACAGAAAAAAAATAGAGATTAGGGCTGATAACATTAGTTTACAAATAAGAAAAATTTATTAAACGAAGTATTAAACATAAATTTAATTAATTAAATCGATTAGATTTTTTTCCAAGTAACAGAGGCTATAATTTAATTTATAACATTTCTTTCTTTTATGTCTTCTATATTTTTAAAGCTAATTTAGAATAATGCATGATTTGTATTTTATTATTTTCCAGGATACTCAATACATACGAGGCGGTGGAACTGTCTGTTTTAACAATCGAAACGTCTGGAATAATTATCGAAAAGCGGTGAATGATGTGGAACCATGTCCTAAGCAATATAAGACAATTTTAATTTAACGAATTTTAATTTGGACCAAAGAATAATAGATTCTAGAAGATCTAATAATTTTATTCTCACTGCATATACTGCATTGGATGCATTCAGAATGGCAATCGTTTACTAAGCGCTCAGTGAACAGTTGTCATTCTGAATGCATACATTGTAATTGAATAATTGAAATATATATTATAATAATGAGTTAATAAAATAGGTTTGTTCGCGTTGCATGTTCCAGCATGCTCCAATATGCTCTTGCTATAGCTTCTACTTACTTCAATGAGCGCGTTAGAGTGAGTAAATGGTATGGAGCATTTTAGAGCATGTTAGAGAATGTGACACAAATAAACCTAATATAAAAAGTAATCAATATAATCGATGTAGAAAATAATAAAAATAATATTTTTCTACACAAAACGAGCTGTATGTTTGAACTATAATTAATAAATAAAAAAAACATTATAAAAATACATTTTTATTAATTCCTAAAATCTTATCAATAGATTCTTGAGACTATGTTACCGACGATTTGGAGCTTGTTGATGCAGAATTGTAACATTTCACACGAGAGGTCTCCTCATTACGAAATGCGAATGAAATGTAAAAGAATCGATATAAAATAAAAAGATAAAATATATGTCGAAAATAAAAAAATTAATAAAATACAGAAAATATATAAATACTGTAATTATTTGAGAGGAACATTATTTTCTTTTTGTATATAAAATATCTATTTTTATTTCTGGAAATAGTTACATAGAATTTAATGAGCGAAGAACAAAAAATAGTGCTATAAGTGATTTATTATTTATTATAATTAGTTTAATAATTAAATAAACACCTAAACTAAAAATTCTTGCTTTTTGTTTTTGAATAATTATGTTTTACACTAAAAAAGACAAAAAAGGAAAATATACTGAGTTCATAGCTCCCAATATTCTGCACATTTTTATTATGCATTAACTACAATCTTGAAGAAAAATGTCCTGTCGGATCTTCACTACTTTAGAGAAATAAGGACGAACGAGGAGGGGAGGGATCAGGGTAGTTCTTAAATTGGATTTTATGAAAAGCTGGGGCAAGTGGAAGGGGAAGCGATGTTTCTCCTCATCCTCGTACCTCTTTCTTTTCACAGCTGTGCTTATTGTCTAGTCGAGGAAATTGTAGAGTAACTCGACGGGTCGTTAATGAGAGAGAAAAAGAAGGTGAAAGACGTGGTGAAGGGGAGAGAAATACGATTCGCTCTCTAATGAAAACTGTAGGAAATCGAGCGAACTCCGGCCGCCGCTACTTATCGTCCGACAACTTCGGGGTTTCATCCTTATGATCGGCAGAAATTTTTCCGTCTAAAGTTATCGCACGGACTTTATCCCGTAGCAAGATGAATTTTTGCCTCTAAGCGCTTTACGACTTTCTTCGACTTTAACCGAAAGCTCCGCTGACCGCACCCTCCGCGATTTCTATTGCATGATGGTGTCTGGTGATCCAAGTGTAAGATGTATTCGAATGGCGCAGAAAATTTATGGTTTCGCTGTCAAATTCCATTATACAAAATATTCAAATAAAGTTACTGATTCCAGTTTCTTTAAGCTTCTTTTTCGAGCTCTATTTCTTCTGAATAAAAGAGAATATTTTGAAGCCAATGATTACTTTAATCAATAGGAAATCAATTCAAAAGATGTTTTCTTGTTCTATAAAAACCATAATAAATCCTTTTAAATTATTTTACGAAACTAAGAAGTTTAGAAAAATAACATCTCAAGCTATTTAAAAATTCCATTTTACACTACAAGATTATTAAAAATAATATTCTAAGAATTCATTTAAGTATGTTAATTTGTCAGTTTTTTTTTTTTCTAATCATTTCCACAGCAACGTTCGCTCGATATAATTCGCATTTTTTTTTCCTTCCAATGCACGTAGGTGTACGTGATTCGCAAAATACCGGCGATACATTACGACGACGACGACGGCAGATTCTTTCTTGGCTCGTCGAAGCCGACGCGCAGTCTGAATACTGCGACTATAGACCAACCCAGTTCCGAGGAATTGGCTCGAGCGTTAGTTGCCAGCTGCTGGCTCAGAATCCTCTTAATCCCCTTATCCTGACGACAGCCAGCTTGTTTTTCCGAGTACTAACTAGGAGCTTCCAGATGCCCTCAAAACTTCCTTTCCGCCCGCTTTCCGCCTCGGCGACTCGTTGTTTTGTCGTTCAACTAACACTCGAACTCGAGACGTTTGCTCCCACTTAAGTAGGCATTGATTAAGCACAAAAGGGATTCAACTATATATCGATGGGATTACTAATTTTCTGTCCATGTAATCTATTTCTATGTATAGTTCATTTAACACTGCCAATGGCTTTATTGCTAAATTACTTGGTAAACACCTCTCTCACAGAGAATAATAGCTGTTGTATAATATTAAAGCATTAGAACTCTTCTAGTTACTTAACAATGATAGTTGTAACTTTATGTACACGCCACATAACAAAGCAGCATGACAGCAAAGGGGTAAATTTGAATGTGCGGTTAAGGGTTTTGCGTACTCGGGTCTCGAAATATCGCGCGGCAAGACGACGACGATGATGACGGGGCAACATTGCGACGTTCTAGCGATATTTCAGCATTAAAGGTTGGTCTGCTCTGCATGCTAAAACTCACTGATTGTGCACCGGCCAAATGTACGCGCTGGCGTATATGCATGGACCTATCATTTTATGTGTTTTATGCTTAAGTATTCGTGCAACGTGCGCGCATATCGTAGGGCTTCTTCTATTTCTAACGCGTTATTTCCGATAACTAACTTTTCTTCGCCATTCAGGAAATGATTCATTTCGTATGGAAATGTCGGAATATTTGCAGACTTTTTTACAATATTTTAGTAATTGAGAATAAAGAGAGTTCATTGACGAATTAAGCACAGAGATAATGAAACACAGAGATCATAACATTAAATTTTTAAGTTAATTTTTTAAGTGGATTTTAATTGGATTTTAATCTTACTTATAGCATTAAAGATAAAATTGCGCAGAGTAATTTTTTTTACAATAGGATAAAAGATCTTCTGTAGCTAAAACAATGCAAATATATGAAGTACTTTGCATATGTATGAATATTATATGTCGAGTCCACATTTTAGACTATATATGAATTCCTCTTATAATGTAGAATCAAAAAAAGATTGTGAGTATATTCATCAATTGTTAATATAATATCGAAAATATAGAACATGTATAAAACATTCAATCGATTAATAAGTGTCTTTTCACAAATTTCTCAGCATCAATGAAGAATATATATTTAAACATTTATAAAATTTTGACTTACTGAAAAATTTAAAAAGGGAAAATTAATAAAAACTTTATTCGCAGAATCTTAAAAATTTACAAACTAATTTTAACAAATTTTTTATTGCTATTTCTCGCACATTTATAAAAAGACCCTTTAAGTATATATTTAAAATATACTTAGTTTGAAAATATAAATTTAGATGTAAGACAAAGCCCTCGAGTCTCTTTATCTACACGTTAAAAATATAGCATAAAAACAAGACGACACGCAATCAAGGAAAAAAGATTTGTAGGATCAACTTTGCGTGTACTGGGATATGCATATATCCTATCCACTTGTACGCTTCGTTGAAGCAGAAGGGATATATGTATCGTGATGGATAGCCCTATAATGCAAAGCTTAATATTGCCTTATACGTATTCATACAGTGTGCTAGAGGGTCCGGGTCCTTTTAGGTGGAAACGAGCTTATGTCCCGCGTCCCACGAATGTAAACGGGATACAGTGAACTCTCTGAAAATTGCGAACAGCTCGACAGATTGGAAAGCTGTGTAAACGAAGGTAACGCGTACCTCGTTGCAACTCAGATTTGTTTGCCTGTCGATCGCAAAGTGCTATAACCGGTACAGTGGCTGATCCGTGTTAATTCCGCAATACTAATATAAACACATAAAATATATGGTACTCATAGTGTGCGCGCTATTAACAGTGTGTTAAATTAGAAGGGTATGCGAATTTCCTTATCAAATATTCCGTGCAAAATTAACAACACGGTAACCTAACATTGAATATATTTTAAATTAAATTTTTATAAAAATACCGCATAACAAAAACATCAGTCATTAAAAAAGTATCCTGCGATAGTAATTCAATACGATATAATATTAAAAAAAAAAGGTTTTATTCAATTGATAGGATAATTCTCAATCTGGATTAAAAAAATAATATTCGGAAAGGGATGTTTTACACGTTCGGCTCAGATTTCATTAAATTCGTTGAACGATATCGCGTGCACGGCCTGGCGTATTCGTTCTGTATGCACAAACAAAATGAATCGAGCAACATTAGGAAGTACATCGGACGGACGGCACGTTTAACTTTCGTCCGACCCCTTTCAAGCGAACGTTCCAGGTAGATGGATGCTCATTATGTAAATTATATGCAACGCGAATGTATGGGTGATGCGACTTGAAGTTACAGCGGCGCTGCATCTCCTCGTGTTTAGCATGGGCAAACCCATGTATGCGTGCTCCGTTATGACGCATTACAGCGTTCCGGCGCCAACTTTAGTACAGCCTTATACGTATTCATACCGCAGCACGCCGACGAACCGTCCGGGAACGTCCAGGAAACATCTCTCTTCGTCCGTGCGCTGCGCCGACGCGACGGGTTACGTTTGCGGACGGGATAAAATGAGCTGCCAAACTTACGCTCCGCACCCCATTTTCGCGCAAACCTCGTTTTACCAATACTGAATAAACGAGCGAGTGTTGGAATTCATATTACCCCAGTTCGAGCTCTATGCGGTCAGACGAGGAATGATATGTTGATGGGACAGTGATGGTCGAGGGCGATTAAAGCATCCTTTCACGAGGTGTATATAAAGCTAATTGTATGATGTGAATACATGACTAAAGCAAGTGAAGAAGTTATTTTCACACATTCTATCTCTTCTGGGATAATTCCACATCAAAGAGAAGGATGTAAAATTTAACTTATAAGAATATGTATATATATTTTAATATAATTTTAGAATTTTTAAATATATTTTTAAATGTTAATTATTCGAAAGTTACAGATATGTCGATACATTAAAAAAGCATTTATTTATTAATTTAGTAATAGGAGGTAAGATGATATCGGTTTTCCACCGAAGACACTGAGATCGAAGGTAACGTTGCGCACACCGTTCTCGGCTGAAGTTACATAAACGGAACGGAACGGCGCAGCACTTTCCCGGCCGAAGTTTGATATTCATGCTGCACTGGATAACGCCCTAATCGAGCCTTTGCGTCG